GGGAGGAAATTAACCAAAAAATTTCGAAATCTTTAAAAAACATCAGAGAAAACACTGAAAATCAATAAAAATTCGAATTTCGCGCGCTTTTACCGGCAGTTGGCCTAGAAAACTCACACCTGGCCGCTAGGCCACCGGTTCCCACTTTGACTTTTCGATGCCGTTTTTCTCAATGAAGAATTTTTTTTTTGAAATTTTTCTTTATTTTTATGGGGGTCTACATGGATTTCTGCACAAAATAAAGCAATAAAATTTTTCACCGCACACCACCTTTAAAACAATCAGCTGAAAAATGACTAATATTGGCTTTAAATTATTCAAAATTATGATGATATCTTCTGAAAATCTCAAAGAAAAAACTCGGCCATGACCGAGTTTAGTTTTCTAGGCCATTTCAAAATTTCAGCAAAAATCAATACTATTTTCAGCTCGTCGTCGATATTGGAGACAAACGCCTGTTCGCCACCAGTCTCGAGACGCCAACCATTCCACCAATTCAATAAACAATCAATGATTTTCTTCTTTTCTTTAATTCTCTAAATTTCAAATTTTCACCCGATTTTCAGCCCCTCCCCCCTATCATCACTCTCTCCCAGTTTTTTCTCTTTTTTTGTCTTTAAATTTCTAATTTTTCTACAGAACCCCCATGGTTTTTTTTCGTTGTTCCCATTCCATTTGTTTCTTTTTTCAAAGTATTTATTTTTTGTCCCTAATTTTCTGTAATTTTTTCATTGATTTTCAGCTTTTTTGTAGATTTCTAGCAACCATTTTTTTTGTAGGTCACTGCCAAGTTTTTTGTAAAAAGTAAAGGCGCCAAAAATTTTTTGAGGAATCACAGGCAATCAATATTCATTTTCAGAGGCAATTTTCGGGAGGAAATGTTCACATAGATATATAAAATTGTATAATTTAATTTTAAGCGATTTCTTACATGATTATTTAAATTTAGTCTTCTTATTTTACATGATTATTTAAATTTAGTCTTCTTCTTAATTTCCCCAGACTTCGTCCTCTTCCTCGTCGTCCGACGTCCATTCAATCGACATAGCTTCCATTCCATCCATTCCTTCATTTTCCTCGTCATCAGATTCGTCTCCAGAAGACGTCGATGGTGATGATGATGAGGATGATGATGAATCAGATGAGTTGGATTCTTCAGAAGAGCGCATCGGATTCTCGACGATGATCACAGATGATGTGGGAGATGGAGTGTTGCGCTGGAAAAGGGAAAATTGATGAAAAGAAGCTCCGCCCACTTTTTCATGTTCCTCATTTTTAGCTCTGCCCACTTTTTTGAATTCTATTCTTTTTAAGCCCCGCCCACTTTTTTGTATTCGTCCTCTTCAAAGCTCCGCTTATTTTCAAGAAATTTATTAATTTTCAAGCTCCGCCCATTAAAAATGATCCTCTTTAAGCCCCGCCCACTTTTTTGGATTAATACATTTCAAAGCTCCGCCCACTTTCAAGGAAACTGTACTTTTTAAGCTCCGCCCACTCTTTTGACTTCCATTCTTTTTAAGCTCCGCCCACTTTTGAAAATTTTATCCCGTTTCAAGCTCCGCTCATGTACTTTCTATTCGAACCTCCCGTCCTTCTCTCTAATAGACTCCGCCCACTTAGAAATCCCTAGGCTCCGCCCCCTTTACCACTAGATTCAATCAAGCTCCGCCCATTTCTAGCCATTTTCAAGCGCCTTTTTTTCAGTCAATTTCAGCCACTTTTGGATGTTTTCCACATTCTCTAGTTTTTCACTTTCTATTTTAAACGCCATCCCTCTTGTCAAGAAGCCTGAAAAGACTCCGCCCTACTAAGCTCCGCCTATTTTCTTTCCTACTAAGCTCCGCCTATTTTCCAGCAATTTTAAGCCATTCTTGAGCTATTGTTTTCTTTTTTTCACTAATTCTCTCCCCAGCTTACACGTCGTCTGAAAAATCTGTCGAACGCTCGCTGGAATATGTTCCCTCCATTCCGACTACTCACTTCAACGATCATCACTGATTCTCCATCGGAATCACGAGCCGATTCTAACTGAATTGATGTGTCTTCTTCTTGTTCTTCTTCGTCTTGTTGCTCATCGTCGTCTTCGCCTTCTGAATCTGTCAAACCGTCGTAGGCATCACGAACGGCGCCTAGAATGCACTCGCTGAGATCCTCCAGCTCGGATTGCACGGATTCTGAAATTTTTGGGATTTTTAGAATGATACTTTATGGATTTTTGGCTTATTTCTGGTATTTTTGAGTCTAATTTTCCGTTTTTTTTGGAGTTGATTTTTTTTTAGATTTTCAAAAAAAACCAAATTTTAGATTTATTTTCAATGATTTTTAAGCCGAATTTCCATGATTTTTCTGAGATTTTTGAAGCTGAAATTTAAAAAATTTGAATTAAAAAAAAATTGATTTTCAAACTGATTTTATCGAATTTCAGTGATTTTTTTCGACTTTTTAGAGTCGAATTTTTCGTCATTTTAAAGTCAAAATTCGACTGGTTTCTTCAAAAGAATTCAAGAGAAAAAATTCGGAAAAAAAAGCAGAAAAAATCCAAATTTTTGGTGATTTTGAAGCCCTTTTTTTCAAAATTTCATGCAAAATTTCATGGGATTTTAACGGATTTTTTTGATTATGAAGCTAATTTTCTAGATTTTCTAGTGGAATTTTATTTTTTTGGAGCGAAATTTCATTAAAATTTCCGTTTTTTTTTCCGGAATTTTTCCAACTTTTTCCCCGATTTTCAGAGTTTTTTTTTCTTAAAGGTGGTCTACGGCGAAAATTTTTATTGTCTCAAAATGAGCAGAAAAGCATGTAGATTGCCATAAAAATAAAGAAAAAATTCAAAAAAAAAAATCCTTCATCGAGAGAAACGCATCAAAAAATAGGCTGAAAGCCCTTAGAGACGAGCTTTTTTCGCTTGTTTTTCTAGTCCACCCGGTGAGTAAATGCGCGCGAATTCAAATTTTTAAATTGTTTTC